CGTTTACTACTAATATTATTATAATACTAACAAATTTTGTTTTGTTTCATGATGGTGTTTCAATATAAACTTTTTTTTTTAATAAAACACGATTTTTTATTTTTGGTAACTTAACAATAACTTTCAAATAACATTTTGTCCAACATTTTTTTTAACTTTTCAAGTTGTTTATCGGCTTTCTTGTACCAAAACTGGTAATAGGGGTCCATACACCTGATAACATTATATTATCCCAAAAGCTTTTTTCTTTTATGCTTAGTTTTTTGCTCCTCCTGAAAATTGGTAAAAATGGACAAAATGCGATTTGCAAGTCTGCTCCTCATCTCAACTCAAGCGAAAACAGCTGAATAGTGCCACCCGGACTTGTAATACGATTCACCACAATACCGATCAATGAACAGGTACACAAAATTTAAAGAGTGTGTCACTTTAAAAAACAACATCGGGAACAGTATTAAAAAATACTCAACAGATATGCGATGAATTTGTACAATTCTTTACTGACATAGGCGAAAATTTAGCAAGTAAAATACAAGCAAATGTACAAAATACTCAGCCTCCAAAAAGAACTTTGAACTCATTTATTTTGGATAAAGTCGAACAATGTGAAGTATACACCACTGTTATGTCCTTAAAAAATCGGAAAAGTCCTGGGTTCGATGGTATTAAAAGCGAGCATTTGAAAATTATAGCCGAGGACATAACAGAACCACTCACTTACCTAATCAACAAATGCTTTAAATCTGGCATATATCCCTCAATTTTAAAAAAAGGTAATATAATACCGATACATAAATCAGGAACAAAAACAGATGTTAACCACTATAGACCAATATCAATAATATCCAGTGTAGCAAGGGTTTTTGAAAAAGTTTTATCTACTAGAATGATTCGATACCTCACAGAACTCAAAATTTTAAATGAAAATCAATATGGATTTACAGAAGGGAAGGCTACATCGGACGCAATAACTAAAATTGTAAATCAAATACATCAAAATATTGATAACAGAATCCCTTCAATCTGCATTTTTTTTTGATTTAAAGAAAGCTTTCGATACAGCTAATCACAAATTATTATTAGAAGCATTGGAGAGAATTGGTTTCAGAGGAAACGCCTACTCACTGATCGAAAATTATTTGTCAAATCGCCCACAATCTGTGCAGATATCAGGATCATTTAGTAAAGAAATGTATATTAAGTGTGGTGTCCCACAAGGAACTGTCTTAGGTCCGCTGTTATTCAATATATATTTAAATGATGTTTTCCAAATTAATTGTGTTGGCAAAATAACTAGTTTTGCTGATGATACTGCAATATTATCTGAAGGCACTGACTGGTCTGATCTGAAAAATGTAATTGAAAATGATTTTATCAAAATTATTCGGTGGTTTAACAATAGAAAATTAAGCATTAACTACTCTAAAACACATTTTTTACCATTTGGATCTTATGCTAGATATCTGCCAAATTACACAAATTTCTCGTTCAACATTAATGATCAAAAAATGCAAATTAACAGAGTGCCCAACATAAAATGCCTTGGAGTGGTCTTGGATCCTCACTTACGATGGGACATCCATTTCAATTATATTTTAAAGAAAGTTAGATTTGTATCCTACAAAATTAAATACCTTGGGAATATATTGACAGAAAAATAACTTCGAACATTATACCATGCACTGATTGAGCCTCATCTCACATATGGTATATTAGCATGGGGAGCTGCATGTTCCTCACATATCTATAATTTAGATGTTTTTCAAAAAAGTATTCTAAAAATGATATTTAAAAAACCGAAACTTTATCCCACTGAAAAATTATACGCAGATGTTCGAATGTATGATATAAGACAGCTTTATTTCTTACACAGTATCACTCACTACCATAAATTTGTAAACACCGACCAAAAATTAAACATAATCATTATACCAGGTACAAAATTTGTGGCACAGTAGTTCCTCAACCGCATAAATCTATAATGCAGCGATCATATCTCTATTTAGCGCCTAAATTTTATGAAATTATACCTAAAGACTTAAAAGATTTACGTTTCGGAAATTGTTTCAAAAGAAATTTAAAAAAGTGGCTACATTCTATATCTAGGACTGAAATTCATAAACTCATAAATACGAACATCAACTAAATACATAATCTACTGTAGCTAATTTTTGTCATTTTTTGTCATTTGCATTCTACAGTTTCAACTTAAATTATTGGTCCATGTACAGGCGATGCCTTCTATTGGGCCTGTTTTGATTTTATATTTATTTACTCATATTGTTTGTTATCTTTGTACATTGAGTAAATAAATATTATTATTATTATTATTATTATTACCTCAGCAGAGGCTATGCCGGAAAGCCAAGACTACAGCTATTGTGTCTGACCGTTTGGCATTAACATAAGCATAAACGCGGGAGGCAAGCGCCGTGATCCGTGTTTCTGTCAAAATTTATTGCAGCTATAAAATTCGAATGAGAAAAGTATCCATTATGTTTTGCGTCGGACAATGGCGGTGTTTGTAGGATGCCAATTCAGTAGCGGAATATTCCATGATTTTTTTATTCGTTCATTTTGGCAGGGACCTGGAAGATAATAGAGAGATATTGCATATGGACCTAAATAAGGGTATGCATTATTTAGGTGAACCTAAATAAGTACAGTGGAATTAGAGATATTGCACATGTAACGTATTTTGACAGTTCGCTTTGATGGTGTTTATCTTAACCTCACTTTTCCTTCCAGTTTTTGCTTGCATAATATAGGTGGTTCGTAGTTGAAATTCTACCAAAGGTGTGAGAAGTGAGATTGTAAAATGGAAGCTGAATTGGAAGCAGTTATATTGGCAGGAGCAGATGAGGAGGAAATAGAACATATCATCCTCCATAATATATTTATTGATAGAGGCATTACTCATACAGCACAATTCAACTTGGAAAACTTGCCAGATGAAGTAATAAGACTAAATTTTCGATTTGAGAGGTCTGACCTTCATAGGCTGATGGCTGTTTTACGAATACCTTCAGAAATTGTCACTATCACACGTAATAAAGTGGATGGTATGATTTTGTTTAAATATTTATTGCTATATGTTCATCATTTCAATCGAACTCCATCCTCTGACTCAAACAACACTTGCCAGAGGCTGGAATTCTATCAACATGAAAACCACAGTATAAGTTCCATTTATCTTCTTTCAGGTTTAACAGCATTGTGCATTCTACTAAGACGGCTGGCATATCCAAACAGATTGTGTGATATGGTCCCTATGTTCCACTTGTCAACTCAGTCTTTGTCACAAATCATAAATAAATTGATAAGTGTGATTATGGAGGAGCATGCTGTACTTCTCAACAATTTGAATTCATTGCAGTGGTTTAATAGGGAGAAGTTGGAGTATTATGCACAGGTATTGTATTGTGTAATATAGTTGAAGTGATGGTTGGTTCATAAAATGCTGAAATGTGCTTTTTGTAGGCTATTCATAATAAAGGAGCACCTATGAATAATTGTTGGGGTTTCATCGATGGTACAGCAAGGAAAATTTGTCGACCCTCTGAAAATCAAGAAGAGTATTATTCAGGACACAAAAGGTATCACTGCATAAAATTCCAATCAATAATTTGTCCTGATGGAATTATTGTTAGTTTGAAAGGCGCATATCCGGGAAGAAGGCATGATGCCAGAATATTTAGGGAGTCAGGTATCTCTGAAGAATTAGTGCAAAAGACATGTTTTGACACAAGACGATTTGTTTTATTTGGTGATCAAGGATATGGGCTGAGTGATGTGCTATTTACCCCATTTCATGGCAGAATGGAAGATTTACCTGCCCATCAGCAGAGTTTCAATTCTGCTATGAAAGTTCTAAGGATAGCAGTAGAATGGGGTTTTCAGAAAGTCATATCAGAATTTGCCTTTGTAGATTTTTCAAAAAACCAAAAAATGCTACTTCAAGACGTTGATGCTTTATACAAGGTGGCTGTACTACTTACTAACTGCCATACATGCCTGTATAGTAGTCAGACTGCTATGTATTTCAATACAAATCCACCTTCACTTGAGACCTACATAGGCCACTGATAAATAGAGGACATTTTGGGTTTGAAATACTCGTTTGCTTTCCATCGCCGCAGCCAAGACCAACCGCAGACAGCGCTGTTTCGGGCTCTTTAGCCCTCATCAGTATGGTATAGGTCTGTATCAGGTCCAGCCGTGAAGGCGGACAAATGGAAAGTAAACAAGCGAATGTGGTCTATCAAATAGCGGGAAGACGGTAAATGTAAAAGATGGCTCGCGCCATCTAAATTTCGCTAGAACTAGTTTCTTTGCAATGGAAAGCAAACGAGTATATCAGACTATATTATTGCATGTTCTGCAGAAAATGCTATTGTTAGTTTGTCCTGTGAACGCCTTGCGTTACGACTCTGGTGGCCGGCTACTGTTGGTTGGTACCGGGGTATCTGTACTCTGTACAATTCATCTGAGTCAGCGACCAGAAATCGTAAGGGGTTTCTGCTTTGCCTGCGTCGTCATTGACGAAACTTGCAAAGAAACTATCTCTAGCGCAAATTTAGATGGCGCTAGCCATCTTTTACATCTAAATTTTGGGTTGTTTCTAACTTGTAACGCTTGATGATAATTTGTAATTTTTTATAGACTTGTAAGACCAATAAAGCTTGTTTGGAATGTATGTTTATTTATTTTACAACCATAAGGGCAGCAAGCACCCAATAAGAGATTTCAAAACTAAATTAGTATGTTGCTGAAAATATATGAAATCAACTTCTTCAGGAGTTGTGGATGAAATATGTTTGATCCTGAAGTTACACAGTTTTACTATGTTCATACATGGAACCAGTTGCAGAATCAATTTCATATATTTTCGGCAACAAACTTGGTTTGTGCTCACCATCCTTAGCATCAACATTATTATTTCAATATAAGGCCAGTATATTATTTTTTTAATGGCAAATTATCTATTATCAAGTTTTGTCAGTAATGCTTCAATAAGCTTTTGTTGTGTTTTGATGAGGTCACTCAAGTTTTTTCTTTCAGCGACATCTTGCTCAGATTTCTTTTGTTCTAACTCTATCCTATGTTTTTTTTCTTGAATTTCTGCCTCAAGCCTTTTAGACTCCAAGGCAAGTCTTGCTTTGTCATTTGCAATTTTTTCTTTTTCATTATCCATTTTTTGTTCTTCTAACTTGAGTTCTGCAGATCTTATTTCTCGTGATATTTCCGCTTTTTCTCGTAGGTAATCAAGGCCATTTTTTCTCAATGTTTTACTTTTGTTCATCCTTTTGGTACGGGGGGCTGTAATGATCGAAAAGTAAGTAACAGCAACAATAAACAAATGTATTTAATCTTGAACATGAAATGTAAGAGGTAGTTTTGAGCTTTCTGTTTTATAGGTAATGTATAACATACTAGAAACTACTTAATCTAGTAGTAGCCCTCTGAATGGGATGCCATGGCAATGCTATATACGCTGTAGTCATCTGGATCCACTATTTGGTTAGTCTGGCCTGTAAATAAAACCGCAGTGCTAAACAAAAGAAGTTCACTGACAGGTTAGTCATTGCACTGGCTTTTATCAAAGTATATAACATAAGTACCTACACATTTTATATCGAGCACTGGTTTTATTTACTGGTCATACTCCATAACCTGTGGATCTGTTTTAGTGTTTCTATTACTGAAGATTCAAGCAGTAATTCTAATCATTGTTTTACCTGATATCTGTTTTGCAGTTCCAACATCTTGTACAGATATCTGTTTTGCAGTTCCAACATCTTGTACAGATATCTGTTTTGCAGTTCCAACATCTTGTACAGATATCTGTTTTGCAGTTCCAACATCTTGTACAGATATCTGTTTTGCAGTTCCAACATCTTGTACAGACTTATTATTATTTTCTGTGTCAACGTCGACTGTAACACAAACACCTAAAACTGTGATAATATAGTAATATGTATAAAAAATGTTTAGAATAGTTATTTTACCGTAATCATGGTCGATTAAAGTGTCATCCACATCAGAAAAGGCCAGCAGTGCCATAGCCTCTCTTTCATTGCGTGTCTTTTCAATCATATCTTTCGCTTTGTTTTCCACTTTTTTCTTTTTTGCTGGTGTAGTTGAGCAGGTCTCTTTCATTAACTCGCTGGCTTCTTGGAGCATATGTTCTCTTTCATTATAGACTTCTTCTATGCCAGACCTGTCAAACACAAATGTTGTTTCACCAAGTCTTACATTAAGCATTCTCTTGTTATTAAAATACATGTAGGTACAGTGTGCTATCTTATACTTACTTGACTTTGCTGTTAACCTCCTTTTTGAGGAACAGCTCCAGAAGATGGTTCAGATGCTTTTTTATTGTTCTCAAAATAAATTCTTTTCCCGTAAGCTCTCGCAAGTTCTGTAAGATTGAGTCCCACTTCTCAGGAGAACGGATAGGGTTTTGTGCAATAAATTCACGCAGCAAAATCATTTCGTCGTCATACGTGAACCTTATTCTCTTTTTATCCATATTCATAGTTACCAAAACGCTTCAGCAATCGTTGAATTTTGAGAGTACAAATTTATAGGTTAAATAGGCTTGCGACGACACCCGATTTGCTTAGATCGTGAATCGTCGTGACATAAGAACGCCTAAATAAGCTCCCCCTATTATAGCTTAAATAAGGACGTGCCTTATCCCTATTAATTCCTCATAGATACAGAATTGTATGTGCGCATGCGTAGATGTCAAAATAAGGTCTGCACTAATAAGGCAGATGTTTGCAATATCTCCCTAATTTTATGTAACATCTGAACCCAACTAGCAAAGTAGTGCTATAAGCTTTTGGTAAAAGAACCGTTCAGCCATAAAAGCTCTCTATTGTTGTTGCCTGAACACCAAAATGCTGGCTTAATGTTGTGTGGAATGCAAAATTTTCTTTCTGCAACATATTTGCTCTAAAATGAGGTGTTTAAAATATTCTTATAGCATAGTTACACAATACCTTATAGGACAAACTTTTAACTGTTGCATAAACGTTTATACAACTATTTTATACGGCATATTTGCAGGTTAGTCAAACTGGTTGTGTTGTGGCATCCATGCTAACGTTTATAACACAAACCCGAACCTTGTTGTTTTGCTGCGCAAATTTACTACTTTAGCCAACAAATAGCTCCCAACGGAAGCACTTATACAACTGTTGTTTAGTAACTGTTAAAGGCTGTACATATGCTAAATATGTTGATAAACAACTTCACCATAACCTAACTTTCTGCTGTCATATTTTTGTTAAAATGCCATAACCAATGTTTTAAGACAAACAACGCATGTATATTGGTTAAAAAGGTTTTATCAACTGATCAAACAGAAGATATAGATCTGGTACAAATTCTAGGTAAATCATTCGACTCTGTCGATATTTCATTTCTGAGATTTGTCAAACTGTTGTATAACACCTGCAGGCAACACCAAAATATTCTAATAAACTAAAGACAACATGGACGATGCCATGATTATACACAACCACCCGCCATATTGGGCAAACATTTATTCCTCTATTTAATATTAAATAATTATGTTTCAGTTCCAAATTACAGATATAGAGTGATAAACATTAGTGTAATTGTGTCTAAGTATAGGATTTGTGGAAGATTTAACGCAGATAAGTTCAGTTTTCCATCTTAAAAGTGTAGACATACTTTTGATCATTATCAAAATATGAATCAAATACGAAGCCCGTAGAAATTGCGTAACTAATTTGCACGATAATCACAATAAAATTTGCTGCGCAAGTAATTCAATAGCCCTACATCGCAGTGTAGAAGTTTATCATATACATGTCTTTGAAACTCACAATGGCCGATATGTAAGTAAACAACATGACTGTAATGTGTTAGTTATATATTCTTCACATTCTTCACTCTGTCTATACAATATATAAGAAATAGTTTGGTTGCAATAAAGTAGAATCACGTAACAGAATAGTTGTATAGTTGACAAAAACTGAATCTTGCACTGACGCAAATGTCCTATAGCGGCTGCAAGAGGCTTACACTTTTGTTGTATAACTGTTACCTGCAGCCCTTATACAACCTCTTAAATGACTAAAGTGTCCTATTAGGTATGCCCATTCCGCTTGTATAGCTGTTGTAAGAGGGTTTTGCCAATGTTCTTACAGTATACAATGCTGTGTAAGGAATGCTGTATAATTATTCTTGCAACTCTAATAGGAGTGATAATTGTTAGTTGGGAAGCTTATCCTATGGTTTTCATGTATATAATCCCCCTTGTTTGCCTGGCCAATAAAGCCACATACATATTTGATATTCTTCTTTATTGTAGGCAATATTTCGGTCACAACAATGACTTTCCTCAGTACATGATACTTTTGTCCATATTTTATTTATCTGTCTTCCACTTTTCTTCATTTACAGATGCTTATACAATGTGTTGCTAGAGTCTGAAAGGTCCGTAACATGTTGAGGTGATCTAGTCCCCCAAAACGACAAAACACAAACAATACAAATGTAGCAGGTGTTATAGGTTTAAAATATTAACAATGAATATTTTGGTAATATATAGTAGAAAACACCAATTTTATCACTCCCTAATCAAATTTGCAGCATAAAAATAACACATGTTGCAATTACAGCATATCAACCTATTTTCATTTCAATGCAAAATAAGTCTATAACGCATAGGTGGCTGTGAAAAATAAAAGCCATGACAATTGTTTTTTATTAATCACAGCTGTCAGAATACGTTTAAAATGGTTATGGGTATTTAAGGTTTTCAAAATGGGTAGAGGAAAGGTTATTAGTGAGAAAATTCGGTTACTGATAGTTAAATTTTTTAATTCTGGGAAATCAAACTCAGACTTATCGCGGTACAGTGTGAGAAATATTGTTATTATAACATATAACGTAACTGGTTCCGTTAATATTAAGCCACGATATGTGAAAAGAAGTAATATCACAAATGCCGACCGAAGAGCATTAAGAAGAATAATCGTGAAAAATAGGCGTGCCAATTATTTACAATTAAGTGCTCTGTGGAGTGACGCTGTTGGAAGGAGAATTTCGAGGTCCACAACTCATATAGAGGCCCACAAACTGGGATTTAGCACTTGCAAGGTAATTTTTATTATAAAAAAAAGTGAAGTAAAACCCTAAAGTTGCACAACTTGTTTATAGGCCAAAGAAAAGCCACTATTAACTCCACTGCAAAAGAAAAATCGGCTTAGATGGGCTAAAGAACATAAATAATGGACACCTCAACAATGGTGTGCAATACAATGGAGTGATGAGGCCCGATTCGAAGTTTGTGTTGGTGACAGTCGCAGTAGAGTTATTCGCAAAAATATGAAGCATTCCATGTTGACTGTCTGAAGAGAAAAGTGGAATTTCCAGCATCCATTATGGTCTGGGGCAGTATCTCATCAAAAGGAGTAGGAAAACATCATTTTATTGATGGAAATGTGGATACAAACAAATATTTGGCAATTTTAGAAGAATCGCTTTTACCAGTGATGGAAGAATGTTTGACATCCGGCCAAGCTTTTGTGTTTCAGCAAGATGGTGCAGCTTGTCATACCTCAAAAAAGGCTATAAAATGGATGGAAGAAAATAATGTACCACTTTTGAAATGGGTTTCGAGCAGTCCAGATCTGTCACCTATTGAAACTTTGTGGCACGAGATGAAAAAGGTTCTACGACAACATTCTGCTCGTACAATCACCGAACTGAGACAAAAGCTTCAAGAAATATGGGATTGTTTTACACCAAATTTTTGTCAAAACTTGGTTAACACTATGCCCCAAAGAATTTCAGGCGTAATAAAAATCAAGGTGATGTTATTCAATCGTTTCAATTGTTGCTTTGTTAACTTCGCGCATTTATTTGCACATTGTTTATTTGTTCAGATGTTCTATTAGTTATAGGTCTAAGTGATTTCAAATATGTATTTTTTACGTCTAGAGTGTATCTAAAATGCTTTTGAGAAAATAAATTGTTTTAGAAGCAAATAGTTTCGTCATGTTTAGTTTATAAAGGCATATTTTGGTACAAATCTTAAGGTGGGCCAACTGAAGTGGGAAGGGGCTCGTAGAATGGGTAAGAAACCAGCACAGGGAATTCTGGCACTGCTCTCAATGAGAAGAAACCAACTCCATGTAGTTACATGACTTCCAAGACAGAATGGCTTGAAAGAACACCTGAGCAACACAGAGTTGTGTGCCGGAGACCTCAGCTGCAGACAATGCTCGAAAAGAACAGAATCAGCCTTAGATGCCTCACAAAAGGTATGGACTCTTCGAACAACTAAGAACCGAGGCAGTTTAGAACAGTACCGACAGGAAAAGTGTACCGAGAGGTACCGAACAAACACTAGACTGCTGGATTTGCGTACTGTAAATATAATAAAAAACACTTAAGAGCAAAAAAATTGCATTTAACCTTTCTACAAATTGTTCGTATCATATACCTATGTCTGCGGTCTTTCACTAAATGCTATTCACAGTTGTCATCTTTTTGTAAATAGGATGTATAAAAAATAAACTGAACGTTCCATTTCGTGACTACACGTACAGAAATAACAACTATGATAATTGGTGTAGTGGTAGCGTGCTATTATGCACACCTCACAGATTATCGGGAATATGCATATGCACTATTCAGCCTACTTAAAAATCGATGAGATTTACCTGTTAAAATATTAACTGACGTTTGAGTATTGTGAACTTTGTAACGAGTTTTAAAAGCTGATTTGTACATAATTTCGAGAACGTATTTAGTAACTGAAATTGCTTGAATAAAAGCTTTTGTTCCCTGGCATCTGGTGCGTTATTGGTATCTTAAAATGTTAAACGCAATAGCTATAGCTATCAAGACGGTCCTGATATAGAAAATATTTCAATTTTTACAGGGTGATTCAGAATGACGTTGAACTACATACATCTTTTCAAGCGGAAAGACCTGCATTTTATTGCAGATTCGGATAGGCGCTTCCAAGCGAAGCAATTTGATGATGTAACAGGGTTGTATTTTCAAAATGTTGAGATATTGGGCAATCTATCGACAAAAACACTCAACTTCAACAACTCGCACATTTGTAAGACGACTGATATTTCCTTCAGAAACATTTTATGATCCCATATTTTTTTTATCTGAGAGATAGTCCTCAGCCCGCAGCAGCGGTGGCCTCAGTAGTAGGCTCTTCGGTCTCCTGATCAGTCGCCGTGCGCTGTG